ATTTAAGGTCAAACTGGAGAAAACGGCTACGAGCCAAAAATGGACAAAAATTGGGCTGACCTAAAAAATGGCTTAGCTATTTGTTTTAGAAATGGCACCCTTTCGAACATTGCCAAAAAAGAACTGAAGTAAAATTTCATAATTTTGAGTCTTTGACGACCTTTCGAATACCGCATGGCCCAGAAGTCAAGCTGGAAGGGGACATCGAACAACACCTAATCCGGCTCTTGTTACGGCCGGGCCACCGCCCAGACGTGGAATAATGAACCATTTATTCAGGTTATTCCCTGACATTACGGTGTAGGTTGAGCTGTCCATGTATGTATATTGAGAGTCGTTACAGGAAGTGCTTATGACGACATAAAATGTGACCTTTGGTGTATTTTTCACCTTCATTTCTAACATCAGAACAAAGCCATCGTCATTCGCAATCACTTTCGATTCAAGCCTACGGTCCACCCTCCCAGCCAACACTCTTCTAATGCAGCTTCGTATCTGTAGCAGCATAATCCTCCGAGGGTAACCGTTTAAAGGGACCCTCCCACCTTAACATTAGATTTGAGTTGAGATAGCCAAAATGGGGTCCCTGGCTCACAATTACCGGTTTCGGCACTCACAACATCGAGAAATGCCTTAAATCGGAAATATTGAATTTCAAAATTGCAGCATTTTGATTCAGAGGGGCTAATGCTTAGGAATACCCCTCTGAATGTGTGACGTCAGCGCAAATATCTAACGATTTTTAAATGTTTGACTAAAACGTTTTGTAGCACGCGGTGGTATATGCTATTTGCGCGCAACATCTGCCGCAAACGCCGCACTTCTAAAATAAAGTCGCTAGAAACAGCGGAGATCCCCAAAAAAGTAAACAAAAGTAAAAGTGTAATATCTTGAAAACCGGTGAATATTTTTCGGTGAAATTTGGTAGATATTCGTTTTCGCTCTTTCTGAACCGAGCGACATCACTTTCATGCCAATTCATAAACTTTTTTGAAGGTGGGAGGGTCCCTTTAAGCGACTGGTTGGCCTGTGACTCTCCCGCGTGCCTTGCGCCGTGGCTCTCCCGTGCCAACGGAATTGGATCAGCTGCTGCTTGCGGCGCACCATTTGGTGGTCGGCATCAGAGTATATAGAACACCGGGTACAGTCAGAGTTTGGGATATGGTAGCAGTCAAATGTCGACAGAAATGGCGAACAAGTTACAAATAGAGGTAGGTTTATTCCACTGTTATACTTCCTCTTGAAAACTGTTGACACACATGACGTCATAAAGTAAAAAGTCCCCATCTAAGGTCGTTAAGACGAATTTTTGACATTATTAAATAACAAAATTATATTGTGTTACCTGTCTTATCTTATATTGTTCCAACAATCATTTTTTATTATCTCTATTGGCCAACTATTTGTTGATTACGTCATCTGGGGCCGCGAGTCGGCGAATGCAGTCGGTCGGAAAAAAACACGTGTTTTCGGCGGCCGAGGTAAACAAATTACAGTAGGTATAGGTAGCTTTGGGTGATATGCTATTTCTATTATTGAAATCGCGTCTCCTGCCGTCAGTACTTTTTCGTCGCAGTGATTTTCACTTTTAGAATTTTCTTCAATAATTGTGGTATTCAGTTCTGCCTCTGATTTGCTATGGCAATTATTATTTGAAGTGAAGAAGGCCTTGTTATGGCCCTGCACAACCTCGCTGAAAAGTGAAACTGAAACGGCTAGAATAACAGTATTGCAACTGGTTTCAAATTATTCTTCAAATTTCCTCGAAGTCAGGCTTAGACCTATGAATAACATCAGATTTGCAAGCATGTTCAAACTGCTCCGTTAATCTCCAGAACATCAGGCTCTCTTCTGATGCTTACAATGCCTGCGGCTGCAACATTATATTGCTAAGAATGGCAGTTCAGCAAGATGTATGTGCAGGCAGAGGCACTTAGCCAATGCACAATGCAGTGCAGATTAATTGTGGTGTGAATTTTGTGTGGATCAGTGCACAATGTGAATGCGTGCCATGATGTGGTAAATGCCATGCCGAATGGCTGTGCTGTGATATGAGCTGACACTGTTGAGTGTTGATGCAATGCTATCTAAGAAATTTTCAGAAGGCAAATGAGACATCATTGAATATTAGTGTAGTTTCCATATAAGTGCAGAGTTCCCAAACTTGCAGCCTTTTTCGTGTGATTGTGCACATTTCCAGCCTATGTGCGTGCTAGTGTGGAATACTTAGTTGCTAGATTGGCTGGCACAGCTTGGCAAGTGTCAACTCTGTGGTAAATGTGAAGATGAAGTCCAGTGAAGATTTTGAACATCTAACCTGACCTAACCTTACCTTCTAACTCATAGCTTTCAACCTACCAATATACTACCTACGAACCCAACACACCAGCCTAAAACCTACAACCTAACTCCTACAACCTACCAAACTCAAGTCTACAGTCTGGACTTCATCTACACATATATCAACTCTATTGCCTGATAATCTTTTCTTGTTTCACACAATCTTATGGTCTGATATGTCTTTCTGAAGCAATAGTCAAAGAATGTGATAAGTTAAGTAATTTTTCACAAATGGAGATAAATAAATTTATGTTTATGAGTGTTTTTGAGCTAAGTTGTGTTTCAATGGTGATAAATGGAATGCTGTCATCATCACATTGCATTGCCATCATGATCAAAGGCATTAGGAGCATTAGGAGACAGAAGTATTGACTATTGAGATGAGCCATCCATTTGTGTTTTTACCAATGCATTACCTTAGGCCTTTAGGGAAAAGTGATCAAAAGTTGTTGAGTTAAGGGGAATATGGAGAAGAGCATTTATTGTTTGTTTTTGGGAAGAAGAAAATCAATTAAACTTATGAACAAGAAGTGATCATGCATTGTATTATGAGCCCAAACCAAACAGGATTCTCTCATGACCATACTAAATGCACAACCCTTAGCTGTTTCTGCACAGTGGAACCCGCTTAACCCTCGCCGGACTAATTGGTTTTCTACATACGCGCCGGCCGGGGGCAGGGGTGGGGGGGGGGGTACGACCCCATCTCGCCGTTTCGCCCCTAATGGAGCTAGAACGTCGCAGAAAAGACGAGCGTGTGTGTCGTTACGAGATGCAGCGTTTTGTACCCGATTTTAAGGTCTCAGGTCAACCGGTGACCTCTGAGGTCAGGTTAAGTGGCCCAAGGTACGGGTTCGGTTTTGGCGAATAACTTAACAAAAAATGATTGCAGGGCCGCGATTTTGACAGCATCGTATTCGCCCTGCTCAGGTGCGTCGAATGGTATTCTTTTTTATTTGGGTGAGGCCAACTTTGGGTGTTGACCTCGGGTCACGGTGAGGTCAGAGATCCCAAGGGCACGAACTTGGTCGAAGGAGGTCATGTCACATATCAGTCGATTTGGCAGGTCTTCCCGAGTCTATTGGTGGCTTTCCCGACTCGCTAGCTCAATTTGATCAGAAGTTATTGTCAAAAAACTTATGACACTAGTGACGTCATCAATGACGTCATGCAAGCTCTTTGTGCAAAAATGAAGCATCGAACCTTGTAAAGAGTGCATGAAATAATCACGGTTGCGTGTGTTACAGCTAGTCTGAGATCGTTCTGGGCTCCAAAATAGCTGTTTATAAGTTTCCCCCATTGGCTTATAATGGTGACTTCATATGACCGGCCTGACCTCATGTGACCTTGAATAAAAAAGCGAGATATACACGTTGTGAGACTTCTGGAGGATACTAGGTCCTGCAAGTTTCATCTCCTTGTGAAATCTGCTCTGACACTGAGGGCGTTGCGAACTTGCGGTATCCGAGGACCGTGCAGAGGTTCACTTATGACGTCAAAGGTCAGTGACCTGACCTGACCTGAAAAAGCTGCTGGTATTGCAAGATCCGGCTTGAATCAAAGGTCAGGTTCATCACTACTCGGTATGTTCCGAGCATTCGAAAAAGCAACCATCAAGATGTAATTGAATGATACCGTTTAGGATTGCAACTTCTCGCCTATCGCCAAATTTCAGCGTTTTATGTATGTACCATCGCCAAAGTGGATTCGGGTATCGATAGAAGAAAGATCAGGCTGTCGTATGGTACACTCGGTTTATACGTATCTCGACTAATAAGTTAATAAATCGACTTTTAGTTTTGCCTTCGAAATCGGTATCTCCCATAGGTAAAGCACTAGTGAAGGGAAAATAAAAAAACCTTCACGCTCTGCTTACGTCACCAGAGCGTGAAGCTACCAATGCCATTGACTGGGTCGGCATAGCCCAATACCTCCCTCGCTTCCTCTCAGCTCATTGCCCTGAAATGGTGTGAGGTGACGACCGGCCTAGGCCAACAATGAAAATTAGGTAAACAAATAGCATTACTGCCACTGACCCCTAATTTTCGAAGTGTGTTTCGGACAATCAAAATACTTAGGCATTCTATAGAATGCCTGGGAGCTTAAGCCAGGCATTCTATAGAATGCCTAAGCAGTCAGGGATTCTATAGAATACCTAGGGATTCTATAGAATGCCTGGTCGGTCAGGCATTCTATAGAATGCCTAGGCATTCTATAGAATGCCTGATTCCACACATTGCCTGTAACATATATAAAAACATTACTGGTGCCATTAAAATGTTATACTTTTGGCCTGTTTGATACCGTAAATCAACTTACAAATCAACTGGGCAACTTATGCAGACAAATCCAAATGCTTGAGGCACACCCTCATTAAACAATAAAAAATCACCGTAGGATATCGGCCTAATTTCTACGCATGGGGTAGATCCTTTCGTAAGAAGCGAAGTGGTCCGATCATTACGCAAGTGAGCGTAAAATCCACTGAGTGAAATCCGTTACCCTCGTCAATGTTTATTTGATCGTTGCGCACGCGTATCTTGTGCTTTCCGACGGACGAGACGTGTAAACTGTAAACATGCGCCACCGTGCTCTCCACGATGGAATTACCGACCCAGGCGCTGCGATGACGGTTCACAAATATATAAACAGTGATGTGTGACCCTCAGTCACTTTAGACTTACATACCGTCCGCTCAACATAGTCGGCTTGGGAGACAGCACAGTTTTATCGAGCACGGGCATCGTCAGTGATAGAGTCTACCGTGTCTGGTCGGTTTGGAGAGTTAAACGTGTGTGCCACTAGTTCCCAATAAGGTCTCCAGTCTTCCTATTAGAAGCAGTGGAGAGATTTGGCACATCCTCTCCGTGATAAGTCAACGTCTACACAGGTTAGTGGAGATATAACGTAAGGAGGCATCGCTGATAATTACTCACCCGAGTTGTAAACTGTTCTTGAGCTTGGAAGCGTGGGTCGGTAAGGGGACCCACGTTTGCCTTCCACAAAGGGACAGCGAATCGTCAAATAGTTTCGGCCGAGAAGTTAGCGCAGATGGTGAAAGCTGCTATGCCTGGATTCGAAAATGACCTTAGTGACCTGACCTGACTAGAATTTGTCACAATGTGTAATAGGGTGGCCCTTATTTTCGAAAGTTTGAAAATCCAGTCTCCAAACCCGGATTCTTGTTCCACTCCATGAGAGAACCACGCGAGTATTTTTTTTTTAAATCGAATAATATTTACCCGGTGCTCAACGACCTTAAAATTTTACTATTTAAGATCATTTTCACGTTCAACGATACAGGGGCTTTGTCGGTGGCCTCCGCCCTCAAGGAGAAACTGCGAGTAGAAGGCCCCTTGGTAGTCCACTGGGACGGGAAGCTGATGCCGGATCTCACCAGCTACGTCCACGTCGACTGCCTGTCCATCCTCGTGTCTGGGGGAGTGGAGGTTCAGCTGCTTCAGGTGGCGAAGCTTCCCAGTGGAAGAGGGGCGAATGAAGCGAAGGCCGTCGTGGAGGCGTTGGATAAGTGGAGCGTCGCTGACCGGGTCGTGAGGATGTCCTTTGACACCACCGCCGCCAACACGGGTCGCCACAACGGGGCGTGTACCCTGATTGAGCAGCAGCTGAAGAACGACCTCCTCTACCTCGCCTGCCGGCACCACATTCTCGAGCTCGTGATCGAGGCGGTCTTCACGTCGGTGATGGGCCAACTACAGGGCCTGCTGTCCTGCTGTTCAAGCGTTTCCAGGAGAGGTGGCCCTTCATCAACCAAGGCGAGTTCCAGCCGATCGAGGATGGAGCAGGAGAGGTCGACATCGAGTGGTTCCTTCAGGCCCTGAAAGAGCGGACAGACCTTCGGGACGACTACCGGGAACTTCTGGAACTAACCGTCATCTTTCTCGGCGGCGTACCTCCCCGCGGAATACGCTTCCGTGCCCCTGGCCCCATGCACCACGCTAGGTGGATGAGCAAGGTGCTGTACTCGCTCAAGGTGTGGCTGTTCAGGGGACAGGTCAAACTGACGCCGAAGGAGGAGCGCGGACTGTTGAGGGTGGCCATGTTCTCCGCCCGCCTCTACAGCAAAGCCTGGACGCAAGCCCCACTTGCTGTCGCGGCTCCGCTCAACGATCTTCAGCTGCTTCAGGCACTGGACGGGTACGAGGACGCGGAGGTCTCCAAGGCCGCGACAAACAAGCTCCTCGGCCACCTCTGGTACCTCTCGGAAGAGCCCTGGCGTTCTTCGACGACCGGGTTTCATCAGAAACAAAGAAGAAGATGGTAGCGGCGATTGAGGAGAAGGACGGCAACGACACAGCCCAGAAGCGAGTGACTATTCCCGCTTCAGCGATCAGCGGCTGCAGCCTTGAGGACTTCGTGACCTCCAATACGTCCTCGTTCTTCTCCAAGATGTCCATCGACAAGGGATTCCTGGCGTTGGAACCGGCAGACTGGAGGAAGGATGAGGCGTACGGCAAGGCGTGCAAAGCGCTGGAGAAGCTGTCGGTCACCAATGACCACGCGGAACGAGGCGTCGCCCTGATTCAGGAGTATAACCGGCTCCTGACGAAGGACGAAGAACAACTCCAGTTCCTCGTCCAGGTCGTCGCGGACCATCGGCGCCAGTTCCCGGACACCAGGAAGGGAACGCTTGCACGGACCGGGCGACAATGAGTGGCTAGCAAGTAGCAACCACACAACCCCCGCCAGGAGAGGAAAGCGGCTAATACTCCCACGAGAGCAACGTGGGAGTGGGACCCGGAGTGCTTGTGACTAGCGTTCGCTGAGTAAAATTTCAGAGTCGTTGAGCACCGGTTAAATATATTCCGATTTCAATGAAACTTTGCACAGCACGTTTCTGGGTCAAAAGGAACAAGAATCCGGGTTTGGAGCATAGACATTATTCGTTTGAAATTTCACCCCCATACAGAGGGCCACCCTAATGTGTAACCGGAATTACATACAGGTGCTTGATTTGGCCCCTTCCAGAGCCGTTTTACGAAGTTCACGAAATGAGCTTTTTATATTCGTAGGGCGAGTGAAATTTCGAGGTAGCTTAGCATGCGTAATGCGTATCACGTTTTAAATGCGTACCAAAGGGAACTTTTCGTTTGATGACTGATACATTTTCCCCTCTTTTCAGGCTTTCTTCTACAACTCAAAATGATGCGGCATTCGCTTCTGGTCTACACGATGGCTGTGGCCCTGAGCTCGGCTGTGACCTCGGCGGCGCCGCGGGGCATTTACGGTCGCGCGCCACCTCTGCGCACGGCCAACAGCGCAGTTGATCGGACCACAGCTGAAGGGATCACCCCGCCCTTCAATCGCCTTGGAGTGCGGGTACCGCAGCTGGCCATAAAACAACAAACGAAAGACGCCTCAGGCAGGAATTACGATACTAATCCGAGACTTCGTGTTCCGATCCTGGCTAACTTTGATGATGTCATTGGAATCAAGTCCGGCGCTTCTGAGCCGGCTAGGGGTGGTCATTCTGGACCTCGGGCTCCCCTACTGACGGCAGTTCCTGATGATGACGTCAGTGATGACGTCACTGGTTCCAATGGTGGTTATCGAATGGGACTTCGTGTGCCGAAACTTGCTGTGTGAATATTTTTAATTCAATCCTTAGGTGATCTTGTAGATAAGTGGCGTTTTATAAACGCTCGTGAGTGACAACATTTGAACGTCTAGTCGCTCCGTAGCCTTATTGTTACTTTTTATGTGACGTCATCACACGTGTTTCCTACCGTTACAGCTGAGCATATGCTGCGGTCGATTAGCTTTAAATGTTATTTATGTCAAGAGTCAATGTTTTATGCAAATGTCGAATTCTTTAATTTTGCTTGCAAGGCTGAGCGTTTTGAGTGTGCGCATTGTTCATGTATCTACGTTTTATTTTAAAGTATTTATTATAAAATTATATTAGTCGATGCTTCGTACTGATAACTTGCTTAAATACATGTTCATATATATTTCTTGATGGTTTACCAAGCAATGCTCTGAGAAAACAGCGAAAATGTCACACTTATACTGGGACGAGGCTCCTTACTTATCCATATCGTATGGATGGCGCAGAACTTGAGGATTTGCTGATAACGCACGGAAGGCCTGTGAGAAAGCGAGTATGGTCTAAGAACCTTTACAATGCCATTATTATTGTGATAAGAACTTGGACCCCGCAAAGAGTGATTTGAAGGTGAGCTTTGATAAGCTTAAAATGTACCGGTCGTGTTAACACCTTTTAGGGTAGATACTTATTCAGAAAGAAAATGATATATTATGGTGGTTTAAACTAATTCCAGTCAAACTGTTAGTACATACCTAACCCGTATTTACCACACCTGTTTTTTTTTATTTCAACCCTGCAGTAGGTGTAAGCTTTTGTCATCCTCCGACAGCAAAGGGGCTCAGGCAGGGACCGCGGATTCAAATTTGCGTAGGGTGTGCAAGATGTGGCGATTGGGCCCCCCACCCACGTCGGGGCCCCTTCAAAAAAGGCAGCGCTGCCCCGGAATAAGACGGCTCTATATAAGGAAGCGGGGCGGGAAACCCTTCAAAATTGAGGGTCGTAAGATAAATGAGCGAGTATCTTACGTTCAGGTGATGCAAGAGCAGAGTAAATGCACATGCTTGTATGCAACATGTTGATCAAGACAGCCCATATTCAGCCCAGATTCAGCCAAGATTCGGGACACCTCCGATCAAGCTGAAACTCGCACACAATGTAGGCCATGCCATGCCCAATCCACAGTCCGAGTCATTCGGCGGCACTCCCAGCCGTTTGACCTACAGAGGTCAGCAAAGGTCACGCGGCCCAAATTTGCACAGCAGATTGTGGCCCACTCAGTAGAGCTAGAGCGCTAAAAATGGCACCAATCGACTCGCCAGCATCTAATCTTACTTTACCAATAACCATTTGACCTCTCAAGGTCATGTGATGACCTAAGGTCATTTGTGGGCTATGTCGAAAATACACTTGCACAGCAGTTTTCGAGTAGAGGGATTGACCAAATTCCAAATCAAAGCACATCATCGGGTAGCCCATAGGCCGTAGTAGCTTTCCTTAAAAACCGCTTCTCTATATGTGACCCCGTTTGACCTCGGCAGGGCAAAATGTACAAATAAACGACACTCCATACGTCGCAGCCCGGATTTAGCCCAGATTCGGGACACCTCTGATCTGAAACTCGCACACAATGTTGGTGCTGACATGCCCAATCCACAGTCCGAGTCATTCGGCGGCACTCCCAGCCGTTTGACCTACAGGTGGTGCCATTTTTAGCGCTCTAGCTCTACTGGGTAGGCCACAATCTGCTGTGCAAATTTGGGCCACGTGTCATTTGCTGACCTCTGTAGGTCAAACGGCTGGGATTGCCGCCGAATGACTCGGACTGTGGATTGGGCATATCAGGACCTACATTGTGTGCGAGTTTCAGCTTGATCGGAGGTGTCCCGAATCTGGGCTGAATCCGGGCTGAATCTGGGCTGAATATGGGCTGTCTTGACTGCATGCAACGTGACCTGCATACGGTTCTCAATGCTAAGGGTAACAAAATGTTTAATTAACCTGCGACCCGTTGGGAGGGGGCAAAGGTCCCCCCTCTGGTTTTTCGCACATAACTCAGAAACGGCTGCGAATTTCGACTTGAATTTTTCAGTACCTCTCCGGACATCAATTTTACACAGATCCTGAAAAAAATTAGATCCCAGGTCATTTCAGGTCACGAGCTATTGAGGTCAAACTAAGGTCTTGTTCGGCGATTTTTCGTCGAAAAATTGTTCACGGAGAAAAGTCGCAGAAAATCAGGGGTTCAATTTAGCGACTCAAAAGTTGAATTCTTGGTACAAAAAAGCATGGCAAACAAAATGGCTATCTCGGAATTTCCAAAATATAAAAATCACTAGATCTAGGGATTTTCTAACTCAAAATTTATATTTATTGGGATATTTTTGAAATTTAGACATTTTCAAAAAACCGGAATATATGTCAGAGAACCTCTCATGCGCCTTACACATGCAAAAATTAACCCGCGACCGCCTGGGGGGCGGGGGGTCGGATCCGACCCCCCCCCCCCTCCGTTTTTCTTGAATAACTCATGAATCACTTTCGCAATCTACTTGAAACTTGGCATACCTTCTTCCCTATCAATTTGACGTCTCCTGTGCAATTTTTAAGAAAAAATTTCCAAAAGTTTTTGAGATATATCGATTTTAGTGATGTAACTACATGGCGTTTTTAGTTTAAGCTCATAGTGACATATATGGCAAAAGTCAATTATTCAAAATAATTTATATTAGGACCAAAACGCGTTTCGATAATATCGTCATCAGTTGGTCCTAAATAAATGACACAAAATACCATGTTCAATCCAAAACACTTGAAAACCTACGGTAACATTTCACGTGGACATCTCAATGCATTACATTCACTGGGGAGAAGTTCAACACTCAGTCGTGACCTATCTCGTCAATAACATGTACAATGTATACCTACACATAGAATATTACAGTTGATAAACAGATAGAATCAATTTTGCGGCTGTCTCGGCTAATGTAATCCTACCACTTTTGGGGTTCATGCACTCATTTATTTCAAGAATGGCCGCCTCGAGCGCTATCCTTGTCATTTTGTCAATGTTTTCTTTGACACTCTTAGCCGCTCTCCAGTCTGGCAATGCTCCACATTTATGAGTGTGTTTCACAATGGTTTTGTCTCTCTGATATTGTATATCTTTCCGATGTTCCCTCAGCCGTATATCCAAACCGCGACCGGTTTCGCCATAGTATGGCTTGGAACACTCAAGACGGGAACTTATAAACAATGCTGTTCTCATGTCGTGCGTTCCGTTTGCTTCTCACTATTTGTTCTATGCTTTTTCCCGTCTTGCTTATGACGACCACATCCGTTCCTTTCAAAAAGTTGGTGATGGTGTCAACATGTTTGGAATGTGGCACAACAATGACTTTGTGTTTCTTCTTCTCTTTCTGAGTTTTTGGAATCCTATCACGAATTTTCTTTGCCTTTAATTTACATCTGATAATCATCGCTTTTGGGTACTTCAAGTCCTTGAATACATTTCCTATGTACGCCAGCTCATCGCCCAAGTACTCATCACTGCATATTCGGTATGCTCTGAGATAAAAACCGATTATTACACCTGTTTTTACTCTAATGTTCGATTATTACTGTTTTTACTTTAATGTATTCAAGGACTTGAAGTACCCAAAAGCGATGATTATCAGATGTAAATTAAAGGCAAAGAAAATTCGTGATAGGATTCCAAAAACTCAGAAAGAGAAGAAGAAACACAAAGTCATTGTTGTGCCACATTCCAAACATGTTGACACCATCACCAACTTTTTGAAAGGAACGGATGTGGTCGTCATAAGCAAGACGGGAAAAAGCATAGAACAAATAGTGAGAAGCAAACGGAACGCACGACATGAGAACAGCATTGTTTATAAGATCCCCTGTCTTGGGTGTTCCAAGCCATACTATGGCGAAACCGTTCGCGGTTTGGATATACGGCTGAGGGAACATCGGAAAGATATACAATATCAGAGAGACAAAACCATTGTGAAACACACTCATGAATGTGGAGCATTGCCAGACTGGAGAGCGGCTAAGAGTGTCAAAGAAAACATTGACAAAATGACAAGGATAGCGCTCGAGGCGGCCATTCTTGAAATAAATGAGTGCATGAACCCCAAAAGTGGTAGGATTACATTAGCCGAGACAGCCGCAAAATTGATTCTATCTGTTTATCAACTGTAATATTCTATGTGTAGGTATACATTGTACATGTTATTGACGAGATAGGTCACGACTGAGTGTTGAACTTCTCCCCAGTGAATGTAATGCATTGAGATGTCCACGTGAAATGTTACCGTAGGTTTTCAAGTGTTTTGGATTGAACATGGTATTTTGTGTCATTTATTTAGGACCAACTGATGACGATATTATCGAAACGCGTTTTGGTCCTAATATAAATTATTTTGAATAATTGACTTTTGCCATATATGGCGTTTTTAGTCAAAAAGTGGTAAATGTTTAAAAAATAGCCAAAAATCAGGGTTTAAAGCAAATTGCAAATTATGGACATGAAAAGACGCAGCTCAACGTGTTCTTTAAAATGGCTATCTCGGATTTTCCATTAAATGCGTTTTTTACCCCTAAAAAAATCAAAAAACTATATTTTTTGGAAAACAGCTAATTAAATCCAAAATTTTGGGAATTTCCAAAAAACCGGAGTATATGTTGTAGAGCTCTATTAGAACATTAGATGCCCCAAATTTCAACTTTCTATCTTGATTTTTGACCCCCAAATTGTAAAAAATAGCTCCAACATACATAGGGCACGGTGACGTCATAAGCATTTTCGTGAATTAGAGGCACTTCTGAACATCGCATGTGAAAACAAATGGCACCACTAGATTCCTGGGACAAAGCTCGTCTAGAAAAGTGCATTTTTATGTCCAAAATAAAAAGTTGAAAAATTGACCTTTTTTCTCAGCCCTCGTAAAGTATAACCGATTTTTTATGCTTCCAATGCTTACTTATCACCAGCACAGTGACTTGGGGTCACATATAACCATTACCATCGGATTCGGCGTGAAAAATAAGCCATAAAACATGTGTCGCACGCCCATGTAGCAGAAATTGAAAACCGTGACCTTTCGTGACCTGACCTGACCTTGACCCGTACTTAGTATGACCCCTATACGCACATGGTACCTTCACTAGGCCTTTGAGGTCATTTTTGGTGAGTTTCGAGCAGCAGCTATCGATTCCGCTGTCCATAAGCCTAAGCATGCAAAACCCCCTGAATTTGACCTTTGACCTGACCTTGACCCGAAAGTTGACCTCAATCTTAAAATCTTAAGAGTGCTTTGGGAAGGTCTCGTAGAGACCTTTCGAACGCCGCCTCGCGGGGCTCGATACGACCATTGGTTCTCGAGATAACATGGGGGG